CACACACACACACACACACATCCCACAACAGTGTTTTCTTGGGTGGAGGGAGATACATTTGGCAGATAGTTGGAAATATTTCTGCTCCCCCACAGCTTCATATCAGTGAGCACCACAGATAAAGATACAGTTGGGGAAATAAATCTCAAATGAAGGAACAAAACCCTTCACATGCAGTTATCACATGCAACGTGTGTGTGTACAGTTTATTACCCACCCGCTACCTCACAGTGCTTGTGTTCCTGCAATGTGTAGTGTTACAGAACACAACATGGATTTTAAGCTAAAAGCAGTATTTTCTCTGCGGTGTTGGAGGGTCACTTCCGCACATGGCGTCCTGTGTGGTACAGGCTACTTGTTCTCAAAGGATTTTCCAAGTCTGCTTATTTCTTGTGTTTATCAGCTGAAATAGTGAAGCTTGTTCATGCAGCAAAGTTTGGTCCAAAAACATACAAGGTATAATTCTTAATACAATATTTTAGGCCGACAACTATGTCTGATTAATATCAGATCAAATTGGGTATTTAAGTGTAAGTAAAGACTCTCGCCTTTCACTGTATGATTGCATAATGGTCTGCCTGAAAAAAAACCCTAACCAGAATAATTTGACTAACTGGGACAAAGGTCCGCTGATGGCCATTAGGTTTTTTAGGACAGCAGCTCAGCCATGCATTAAGTGATGAAGAGAGCGCGCGTGTAACCTGATAAATGCACTTAAAACAGTGAAGATGGACAATGAGGGAGCGAAATCTCAGATGGCCCTGCAGTTGCTGTGCCTGCAAGGCACTTTGACAGCCTATTGATCAGCCACAGAGAGTCTTGGGCAGGGTCAGAGGTGTGGGGATGCTTGGCTCGGATGCTGCCAGTGCGACAGGTACAGGATAGCATGCGGAAACCGGGACCTATCATGAAATATACCCACTCTAGAGGCAATTACATCGTCTTTTTGTCGAGGTTCAGATGTATTGTGGGGGAATTTACTTCTGCGATACACAACAGCCATACAGCAATCAGTCTGTTGTTTGTGAATTGATGTGACGCAGCGTTTCTGTCTGGGACACAGACATGGCGTGGTTGTGAAAATGCCCAGCTCTTGTTATTGAATAGTAATAGGCTTGTCGGCCGGTGCCTTCAATTTTACAAATGGAGCAATAAATACACTTAACAGAATCAGTGGAACAATAAGAATGGCTATAAAGGATGGTTGTACCTCAAAAACAAGGAGGTGAGCAGGGGAGGGTAACAGGCAAGAGGGAGAGGGGGTCAAAAGAAAATTTGACAAAGAAATGAAAAGTGTGTGTGTGTGTGTGTGTGTGTGGGATACAGAGAGAGTGAGAGAGTGAGATGGTGGCCCACTCTTCATTTCTGTGCCACAAGCTCTCCTGGGCATTTGCGTGCTCCGTTTTCAACCTAAGTGTAATTTGAGCCCTGGGTTGATACAAAGTGTATGCAGCAGCTCTGTTCAAACCCAATCACTCACCCTGACGTGTAATCCTTTCCCTCACCATCATGAACGTTGCTCTGGGAATAATGAAACACACTTAAGCAATACACAGCAGTCGTACAGCTGCAAGTGGGGCCGCATCTTGATGAGATGCCTCATAACTCTAATGAAAGGTGTTTTGACCTGTCAATGGAGGTAAATGATTGCCCTGCTACTGTATCTGTGGGAAACTTATTGATGGCAATATCTGGTCCAACCCGGTGATTTGCATGAGAAACGAGAAGCACATTGCTTTTAAAAATACAGCACCTGGCAAGCATGCTCCACATTTTATTTGCGAGGGCCTCCACGTCTACTTATTCTTCTTCCTCTCATCCTCAAGTCCTCCCTCCTCTTTAGCTTTGTGATGCCATTGTTTCCACGCAGAGGATTATTACAATTAATTGGTTGCGAGACATTATTTCAAAACGGGAAATTGGCTCTTATAATTATATAGAGAGGGGAATACTTTAACTCCCAAGAATATCAGCTTCCTGAAATAATGGAGCCACAGCCCCCTCACTTCCCCCCAACCTCTATCAGCGTTAGCGTGTCTGCGTGCCTGTTTCCTGTGACGGATCCATTTTCAGCGGCTTCTGGCCCTGCGGTGGCGGCGGCGGCTGGCGGCTGGATGGTTTGGGGTGGCCTGCAAGCATCTCAGCCCTGCCTTCATCTGTGGTCTGCTGGGAGCTCTGACCTGCTCTTTGTTCTGTCCCATCGCTGAACTCACAGTCACTGTATGTGAGACTGGTCACAGTGGGTAAAGACACTGAGCAGTGCGAAGGGTTTGGGTAGGGGTCGCTCTACAGGGTGAATGAATAGTTGACACATGATGGTAAACGCAGTAAAGAAACAAGTGTAGTAGATTAGATTATTGTAGAAGATTGTAGTAGTTACATTTTGCAGAGGCCTGTTAGCTTTTACAGTTATTAGGCTTTGTTTTTAGCCATGTTAGCGACGGTGCTCTGTGGATGGCATCGGTTTGTCAGTGTCATTCTGTTTTTCTTATCACTGATGTTTTATCATGTGCAGGTTTTTCCAATAAGTTTGGTTTTGATTTGTTACTTGCAGCTATAATTCACAGCTGAAACTGGTCGAGCTTGTGTTTTAGCCGGAGATGGCAGCGCTCGTTTACGAGATATTTTGGCTTCATTTCTGTATAGCATAAGGAGGTGGAAGTTTATGATGCTAAGAAGAACAGGGTAAACATTACACCTGCTACATGTCAGTAAGTAAGCATTGTCACTGTGTTAGCTTAGCATGCTAGCATAGACTTAGTTTTTCTGATTTGCTGAAATGCATTTCCTGGCACTTACTCTACTTTTCTCAAAACAGTAAACACAAACCCATCTGACCTCTGAAAAACCAAACAATTAAATCAAAACGATCTTATCTTTACGCAAAACCAAACACTGCGGTCGGATAACACACCAAGCCAGCCAAGGCATAATCACTACTCAGTAATCAATACTTACTACATAAATAAATGTAAATGCAAAACACTGTGCCCAGAGCATAGTGTTTTGCTCTTGACTGAAAAATCTTTACGTATTCTTGCACTTATGAAAAACATAAGCAAACACAAAACCTGCAGCAATTTTTTTTTTATAAAAATGCACTAAATAATTTTACATTAAGTAGTGTCAATCATTCATTCTGCCTCAGCATCATGTGTCTGGGCCAGGTCAGGCCACAGGACTCCATCTACATCACAGGCAATCCGCTCCCAAGCTAAGAAACTGGAGAATCCTTTGACTAGAATCCTTTGACTAGATTCCTACATCACCACATGCTGCATCCATTGACAGGAGGTTTTCCTGGGTATCAGGGTTTCATACACCTTCCACCAACATGCTGAGAAAAATGTTTCTATAGGGTTTAGGAAGGGAGTATGATGGAAGGCAAACATTGAGAAAATGTTGGTAATTGATAAACCATCCACGTTTTCTTTGAACATAGTGACATAGTAAACAGGAAGCTCTGTCTACTTACGACCTCTCTGCTCATTTCTGAGCAAAGCATCCGGCGGGCCATCCAGAAATATAGAAACGTTCAGAATGGTATGGTCCTTAAATAACCTCATTGGATATGTGGTTGCCCATTTCTGAGTGGAAGGAAATGGTTAGTTGTGTCTAACACTTGTGGTGTGGGTTTTTTTTTAATGAGAATGTGTTTAAAGTTTTGCAAAATTGCAAAATGGGTGATTCAGATTTGTGTGTCTAACCAGATGAACAGTGTTTAAAGTTTTGCCAGCTATGTGATCGATTCAATAAAATTGTTATGTCAATTGGCAGTTTTGTTTGGAAAATGGTGTTCAGTGCTTTGGTAATTCACAAACACAGCAAGTCTTAAAAATCCGTTTAAGATTATTGGTTTGTATTGGCTGTATAAAAAGGTTTTCATCACGTTTTACTACACATTTTAGTCATAACACAGAGGAGTCAGAGTTCAGGGAGTATTTAATTTGTTGATCCTTTACCTTTTTGAAAATCAAAACATAAAAGTTACACAGATATTGGTGATTCAACGATCAGAGATATCAATGTACACCATTGCCAAATGATATATTTCACACCATAAATACTCAGAGCACAGAAGCAGGAAATCAGTCACCTGCCCCTGTCTGCAATTTATCATCAAGGGACCAATTCTGACACACTGTTGCTCATAAAAACAAATACCCGCTTCGTAACCAAAATGGGGGTCACACCCGCCAATGGCCAAGTCACGTGGTCGACGTGAAGCATGCTTTACCTTTACAAACAGGTCTATGAAGGACAAACAGGAAGATCAGAAACTACGATTACAAACATTTTGGCAGGAGCACTGAGGGAGAGAGAGAGAGTTTGTCTGATAAAAACATGGATGGCTCAGGTACTGTATGTCACAGACATGTGAAGTTGATAAAGAGCAGAAAGTGTTGAATCAGAGAAATATTGACAATATGATAATGAGGTAGTAGTCAGCAGGGTGCTGCATACTTTATTTTCAATGGTATTTCGGCAACCTACTGTATTGACGCTGATACATTTACACACTTGGACACAGATTGTAATGTAAGACATGTTATCTTTTAGTTAACACAGTGCCACATTGCTTGGTAAAAAGAAACAGGAAGATGAGACAACTCCCGTTATCATGATTCTTATGGATCATCATTTGGGACACTATAAAATACTAGTTGTAAAGATTTTCTGCAAAAGTTTTAATTGAAATAAGCACAAAAGTGTTTTTGTCAGCTAAGCAAATCAAATATAGTTCCTCTTCTGATATACGGGATACATGTTTAAAATTAGAGGGCTTTAGAATGCTGTATGTTAGTTAGTAGCGTTACAATTCTCCCAAATCTAAGTAAAAGCATGCTTTTCAGCATGGTTTCAGTCAGAATTGGTCCCTGTTGTATTGCACAACAGTAAAATAACTCAAGTTATATGGTCACCGTCTACAGTGGAGCTTGTTAACTCGACAGCGGCTGGTTCAAGTAAAGATGATTGGGTGCTGGAGTGGGTAGACATCCTCCATTGCTTGGCCAGTCAGGCTGCTGTAAAAAAAAGCATGCCGGCGCTGGATCAGTGCTAGCCACTGATATCTGGAGCATGGCAGCAATCCTACCCTACTGCAATGTTAGGGATTCTTTTGATCACAGTATCATATTGTTGCAACAGTGTCACAATTTATCACATCACATAAATTCCTTCAGTAGTATAAGTATTCACCTCCGACACATCCTCCCTCACATGGAGATGAGCGGCAGCTCTGCTGGACTGGACTAACGTATCACTCACACCCGGCGTCATGGATACGTAGCTAAACACAGGGAGAAGGGAGCGCAACATCTTGTTCTCCCACCAGAGATCACACCTTGTACTGACACGCTGTTGGGTTGCTGTTACCCTACGAAGCATGCATGCTGACACTTTGTTTCTTGCATAGCTATTCACATGTGCATTCTAGGGCATTCCGATCTCTCCTCACAGATTCCTGCCCGCCTCCAGACCGGAGAGAAAGGTGTTACTCTGCTCCGGCCACTGTGTCAACATGAGGTCAAGAAGAAGTGTTCCACGTGTCTACTGTACTCCTGGAGGGAGGCTGTGCAGACAACCACCTCCTGCCAGGTTAAAAATAAACCCAGTGTGAAGTGCCACCACTCCGGCCCTGCACCTGCCATTTACCTCCGTTTGGTTGAAGCTCTATAAATGCAGGCACAGCTATTAAAAGATGGGAGGTGTCTAAAATGGTGAGAGCAGATGCTGGGCACCTTGCACCCTGTGTGCAGGATGACTCTGCCACAGGCTTAAAAGAGCCCAAAATAGAGTGGCTGACATATGGACCTCTGATTGTTTGAACATGGAATCTCCTGGACTCCTGCCACTCGGCATAGATCCTTTGATACTGCCACACCAAACCCGCTGATCATCTTTCACCTAACCCGAATCAGGTCATCTGTTCGCATGCCAAGATGCAATGACCAAATTTGGGGTTCAATGGGTTGCATAAACAGCACTGACACAAACCACTACAGGAGGGGAGAGGGGAGGAGAAACACTGGTGTGCAACAGCGGTACAGTGGTGTGTCCCACTGGTGGGACTGAGATATACAGACATGGTCTTTTAGCAACAGCAGCGTTGAAAAGCACATGTGAGATAGGAGGTCAAGCCCAGCCTCCCCACACAGCCCCCTTTATTGCTGAGTTACTACAGAATAATTCGACTGAATATTGTACCTGCCTATGCTAGTTCTGCTAAACATGGGACCAGCAAGTCTTCCGGTCTGAGAAGGATCCACAACGACCACACGGCTCACTGCTCTGGAGAGGTATATCCAAGGACATTTAAACTGACAAGAGTTCACATTTAAGTAACAATTTTAGTTCATCTTTTTTTTTTATCCGGGAGGAGAACAAGAGAAAATGGCCACCAAGTTCACCAGACTTTTATCTGTACACTCAGTCTTCCATTAATAAATATATACATGGTCCTGGTCGAGTCCAGGCGAAAACACAACTGGGAGACAACTGAGTCTGTTTATGGTTGTTGACAACTTTGCTGCCTTAAGAACAAATTTAAACAACTTTTTGTTTTCTGAAAACAAACAAAAAAACTTGTCTTGTCTCTATCAAGAACTGGCAACTACTTATTCTGAAGACGCTGAGGGGCAGAGGGGTCCTTCTTCATATACAGCATGACCACTAACAATTAACAAAAAACAAAAAAAAATTATTACTGTACATAGTATTTCTTATATATTTTAAATTAATCTGCATCCTTTTTATATTTATACTAATAACCACGTTTTGCATTTCTTCTTTTTTATTTAGTGCCCCAGGGTTCCAGGAGGGGGAGCGAGAGAGGACAGTCTCTGTCCCGCCTCAGTCAGTGGGGGTCTCCCTCTCCTGAGGACCCTCAGCCTCGGTTCAAGTCACTCTGTATCGCCAACGCAGCCCTCCTCTGTTGCCATGGCCAATCAGCCACCCTCCGATCAGACCTTGGCCTCCAGCATCTCCAGGAAGAGTTTGTGCATGGGAACCTTGCCCTGCACTTTGATGCTGTAAAAGTGCTGCACAGCCTTGGTGGCCGTCTGCCTCAGCAGGGGCAGGGTCATGAGCAGCTTGCCTGCCCGCCGCGGGTCCTCCTGGTGCTGGCTGCTCTCGTAGTCCTGCAGGGCCTCGTGGAGGGCGTCCTGGAGCTTCTGGACTGCCTCCATGTCCTCTATGTGCATGGAGTCTGGACAAGAGCAAAGAAAAAAAGGATCATGAGGATTGATGGGTTTTCAAATTTGAAAAAAGGGGGAAAAAGTAACTTGTGAGGAATGTAGTTTGCACTTTGAGACACTGGTAATATAACAGGAGTGATGGGAAATGGATTTTTCTAAAACAAAATTAAATCTCATGATTGATCTTTACTGCTCCGTCAGTAGCAGCAAGGTATGGAAGACATTATAAACATAACTCACAGCCTGACAAGATAAAGAATAGATCATAAAAACAGAACATCTGCTTTACTTTATTTATTTATATATTTGTTCTTTGGTGGACTGGGCAGGATATTCATATGGCCCTTGACCAGCGAGACTGAAAATCAATGTTATCCTCCAGCAACAATGGCATGAATAGCACCCAATCTCTGCTGAGTAAGTACACATTAAACACCTCTCCGTTCCAAAGGACACAATGCTTCAGAACAAAAAACAAAGAGGAAAAAATAAGAGGGGGCTCCATTAGAGAATTGGACGCTGTAAACAAGTCTGAGAGGAATTCAACACTTCCTTTCAATTAATTTCTTTGCTTCTCCCTCAAGGGAATTTCTGACCATCACAGACAAGGAGACAAGAAATGTAAATTTTTTCAACAACAAATCCAGGAAATGTAAATATAGGGATGAAAAGAGGCAAATTTCAATTTTCCTGCTGCACGACAAAAGAAGAAATCAATACATTTTGGTGTGGATCCAGATCAGGGGACTGATCACGATTTTATTTTCACCTACTTTAACATTGCCTTTTTCATAATCTTTTCATAAACAATCTTTATGAAAAACAATCAGGCATAAAGACTGCTAATATGTATAAACAGGTGAAATTGTATGTCTACATAGTATATGTGTCTGATCTCACTTGAGTGACCATCGTTTGTACACTATTTTTAATGATGCATTATGGGAAACAATGACTAGACTATATAGGGTGTAAAAAAACTTCACAAATGGAAAACTCACTATATAGTGTACTGTATAGTTTTAGTGAGTGATTTCAGACTTAGCCTATGACTCTCTCTCAGCTTCAGTCTACACAGATCTATTCCTCCTCTCCTATTTTGCAGCAGTCTTTAGTTTCAGACTGGCTTCTATAGAGTTCCATTGTTTTGTTCTGTACATCATGTAACAGCCCTCCACTCTCATTCTCACTTTGCTCTGCCTCTGTTTTCTCCGCTGCTTTGCTCCCACTCTCTCTCTCTCTCTCTCTCTCTCTCGGTCCAGGGGTGTTGTGCTTTCTCACACTGGTTAACCGGTGTCTGGCACTCCAGAGGCAGCATGTCATTGGCTGCCTGACTCGTCTCACCTTGGCGGTGCATATTTTACCACGCGGGACAATAAAAGGCAAAACAGATTTCAGACTTCGCCCCAAATTCATTGACTGGAACAACTGTATTCCCAAGACCTTGAGACATTTCTCACCCTGACGGTTTTCAAATCCACAGTGGTAAAATGAAGTAGGTCGTTTTGTAAAGTGAACGCGGGAGGGAGGGAGGGGAGAGGGGGAGGATGGAAAGAACAAAAGGCAAAAAAAGAGAGGAAAAAAAACTCGGGTGAGGATGTGGTGTGACATAATTATCTCTTGTTCTTTTCACAGAGGCTGAATTCACAACTGAACAAGCTGCATTTTTTTTTTTTTTTTTACAAATCAAACCAATATTTTATCCTGTTTATCACATTTGCAAACACACACACAGTTTAGCAATAAACCTGATTTGAACTGTGCTGTAATGAAATGTTTTGCTGTGACGGGGATGGGAGAAAGAGGAGAAAATAAAAAGGGAGATAAAGACATCTCAACAGATGGGAGGGAAAGGAGGGCAGGAGACAGCGAGCGCTCCGCTTGTAGTCCTTGGAGGAGGGGTAGACTTAAAAAAAACAACTCTGAAGAAACAATTTCCTCGCAATCCATCAGTGAGCCCACGTCGATCCGATTGATAAACTGCTAATTACAAAATCAATCGCTATGAATTTTCACAGCTGTCAGACAGAGGGGCTCCCGGGAGAGTGATCTCCCAGAGACCTTGTTCTAACGTTCCGGACACCCTCCTCCTCCTCCTCCCTCGACCCCCATCTCTCCCCTCTCCCACAGCCCCACCTCCCCGACCAGAGCTCTGTTGTCTGAAAGCAAAGCCCCACCATCAGCATTTTCATTTTTCAGCCCTGGACAAAACAAGGGAGAGAGCGGCCCGGTGACCCAGGCGTGCATTGATCAGAGCGGGACAGGTTGTGCCTCCTCAAAAGCAACCTGTCAATAGTGGCGTGGCGTCTCCGCATCGGAACAAACGAGGCCTATCACTCCCTGATACTCATTCCATTCGACTTAACACATTTTATTGACAGCCCCTGTGCTCCTAATGAAATGCTAAATTTATCTCCCGTGGCTGCTGTGCCCTCCAGCTACTGTTATGGAGATAGAGAAGGAGAGGGGGAGAGGGAGCACCGGAGAAATACCACAACACGGAAGGTGTTCAATTAAAAAAAGCTCACTCCTCCATCCCTCTTTCTCCTGCACTGCCCTTATCTCCTCTCCATCTCTCCATCTCGAGCTCCAAACTAAAGGTTACACCGAGAAACTCCTGAAAAAACGAAGAAATGTCATTTCTGAAAACTGTGTTAGACAGAACCCTGCTGCGTCTGGATATTACACTGTGCAGCGTGCAATACTCAGAGGGCCACTCAGGACACACAGTGAAATATTCTGGGTGAATATTAAACCTGAAGAACATCTCAGTAAAACTGCTTCCTGACTTTTAACAATAACAACTTTATAATGTCTATGCAATGTATAATAGTAAATTGTTATAACAGTATGAACTGCTTAATTCTTAAAAAAATATTTATAAGAACTTTATGTTATATTAAATTATTGTATGATTATATGTTATACTAAGCTAATACAATATGTAATTTATTATTATGTTGAAAAATACAGCGGAATTAAAGTTTAATATTGTTTAAATAAATTAGGTTATGGGGCTTATGCTAAATCACACTAAAGATATATTATCACAATTTTTAAGCTATCATGCAACACTTAAATAATGAAATAAAACAGTGTTTTGATTTCACTTAATAAATTATTATACAAATCCATACCTACACAAAAACAATTTACGTTTTTTTCCGTTGCTAATATAAAATTCGGTCTTTTTCAAAATGCACATGAAATGTACTCATGCATCAGTGAGCGGAACACATCCCACCTGAGTTGGCGAGAGCGATGGCCTTGAGAGTGACAAACTCCTCCTTCTCCACCTTGAGCTTCTTGTATTTGCGGACCAGCTGCAGGATGGACACGTAGAGGTCGAGCAGGCCCGTCAGCCGCGAGTGCTCCTCGTCCATGATGTAGTCCTCGGCGTACACCAGCTCGTCCTCGTACGGCAGCGAGCGGAACACGATGCTGAGGATGAGGATCTCCATCCAGGCGCTCTGCAGTAGACTCATCTGGTCTCCCAGCGACAGAGCAGAGAAGCCTGGAGGGACAGAGCAGAAAAGTGTGAGAGGACGGGAAAATAAATGTGGTATGCTTGCACCAAGAAGAGAAAAAAGTGAAATACTGCAACTTCTGTGGTTGAGTCAGAAGTCTTCCTTTGTTGTAAAGTGTTAAAAAGTGAAACAAACATCACTTTAAGTTGATCTGTCATCCCTGAAAAAATAAAGTCCTGAGCCGCGGCAGCCTGGAGTACACAATGAGCCCCATGTTAGCGAGAGGTGTTTAATTTTAAATGCACAGTGGAAGGTCCTCTTTGAAGCCTGTGTCAGAGCACTTGAGTGGGCTTTACTGTAAGTGAGGACAGTAAATCGGTGCAAAGGTCCAGGATACACAAAGCCATGTGGTTACCCCCTTGTATCCTGTCACACTTCTATTGGTGTGAGGGGGATTAGCACCGAGACACATTCTCATTGGAGGGGTTGAGGACATGACATGCACTGTGTAGCAGGAGGAGGTGACGAGGGGGACGCACACACACACATACACACATACATGGACGCGCTCGGATACACAAACGTGTCAACCAGGAAAACAAACAAGACGCACATGTTGATTGTGACACGTATATGTATGCACATAAATCCATACACATAAAAGTACACACAAGCACGAGCTCGCTCACACACACGGGGTGCTGGGTTCATGTGGTTCAAGCCCAGCCCGAAGACCTGCTTAAACCCCGGGTCTCATTCTCCAACAACAACAGCTGGATGAGCTGAAATTGGCTCGGTGGCATCGAACCGCTGTCATTTCCCCTTCAACACCTCTACATGTGCTCAGAATAGAACATCAAATAAAACAAACCGCTAGATCCCCAAAGATGAGAGCTGAGAAACTCAAACAAATTACAGACGGTAAAGGCAGAGAGTGAGGGGCAGATAGCTATGTCTCATACCATTTTTTTGCTTCGTGCTATCTTTCAGCTGTCAATACACTGCACGTACCCACACACACACACACTCAGCTTCCACTTTCCCCCCCCTTCATCTCCCACCTCCCCCCTCACGCTGCACTGTGTGCCTGCAGGCGGCCCATTCTCTGACAGCGTATTAGCCTCTTCAGTTACGCCCCTGATTAATATGATTGCTTTCACAAGTTTTGGTGTTGCCACGCTCCCTGCCATTGCATGATTAAGAGGCGATAGATTACAGTATTGACCAGGGCTGCTCACCACACAAACAAACACACACACACACTCTTACACACACATGCCCCGCGATTTCGCTTAAATATAAATGATCTCACTGAGGGGGCAGCCACCAGCCTGATGTTTATCTCCTCCTGCCAGGACACCATGAACACACACACACACACGCACGCACACAGTCGTGCAGGGTGAGGAGAATAACAGACATCATGAGGAAAGCGTGAGAGAAAGTTAAAAAAGAAGCGGAGAGAGAGGGAGAGAGAGAGGGGGGGAGAGAGAGAAAAGAAGAGCCAGCGAGAGTGGTACCTGAGTGTTCAATTACCCTTATCGTGGTGATGACCACTGCAGGGGAAGAGCTGGAGGATACATTAATTAACAGATTGTGATCAGAAAGTGAGGGCCTTCACGTTTTGAAGGGGAATCAATAGTCAGTAGAATAGAGTGCGAACAGAAAAGGTGCTGGTGCCCGACTGGACCGGTCAGAGGTCTGAAGAGCCCAAATTAGACCCAGCACAGCAAACTGCCGAAAGCACTCACAACACTTAACTATTATCAGCGGAGGCAATAAGCCATATTTTGCGGAGGCCCGCGCCATTACACGTATCCGGGTGGCGCCTCAAAATTTTGTTGTGTTATTTCCTTGTCTGCATACGTGGCCATTAAGTCGGACAGAATGTGGACTGGCCGGAGGGAAATTGTCATGCAAGCGCGGATGCGGTCTTGATTGCCGCATCAGGTTGGCATCGCAATCACAGGCGAGGCTTTGTCGAGCCTTTTAATGCCAAGGAGGAGTGAAGCGGAACTAAAGCGCTGCTCCCAATGTGACAGCCCGTGTGAAGGCCTTGTTCAGGGCTCGTTGTGGAGGCTTTAGAGTTGTTCTGATACGGCAGACACCTCTCAGCCATATGCACACATGCAGCCCAGCAGCCTACAATTACCTTTGACGCTAAAAGTCCTTGAATTTAATCCAGTGTTGTGAGATGGAGAGGTAGTGTTTTTCCCCCTGCTCCATCCCCTCTCTTCAGGGCCTAAATTATCGCTCCAAATGGGATCTCGTGTCGTTGCCTTGCCTTTTTCCACTCAATTTAATCGAGTAATGAAGTGACTTCCCGACTCCGCAGGTCACACGGCGCTCCGGCCGCCACACTCTGAAGGTGGCCCGGTTAAGTGCCGTCGGAGTGGGTGATTTCCTCTAATGAAATATCAATATTTACATCTTCATTTCCAGCCCACTGCCTTGGCGGGGTTTGACCAAACATGACACAATATTGACCAAATCAGACAGGCCTGTCTGCGCACTTGAAGGGCCTTTTCCACTCCACTGCTGAGTGCACCGGCAGATATCTGTCTAAAAGTCTTTGTGGCAGGGATACAGAGATAATAACCGTGCAGAGTTTTTCTTTGGTCACTTTGATGTAAGCATCCCACTTACATTTAAAACATCATGCATTTATTTCTTAAAAGGATTTTCAAATTCCAAGATGTTTCCTCCTGCATGCAAATTACAGAAATCCAGTTCAATCAAGACAGAGGGAGAAAAAGATATATAGATGACAGAGAAACCAGAGCCCAGCTGACCACCAACTGCATCAACACCATCATTCATAGCTCAGAGGATGAAAACAAGACCGACCGAAGACCAACAACAGAAGCCAAAACTATCATCTCTTCCTTTATCTCCCCAAAAGCCCTCGGCTGTTGGCAGGGGGGGGGAGCCCGAACCCACAGACGGCTGCTCCAAACCCCTCGTAGAGATTAATCAGCACGCCGTTTCATCTGCCAGATCATGGGACGGTCCAAAATGAAATGCTGGAGATTTCTGTTGAGCTGGAGTTCATATTCTATTAATTTATTATTGTTTCCCTCTCCCCGAGGGCCATTAGCACGGGTAATAAAAAGAGATGTAATTACGAGGCACGGTGGCCCCCTCCAGCTGCAGCCCCCTCGTAACTCAGCCTCAATCAGACAACGGAGCAGACAGAGGGAGGGAGGGAGGGAGGGAGGGAGGGAGGGAGAGAGAGGGGAGGGGAAAAAAGATGGCAAGAGGGAGAGAGAGAGAGAGAGAGAGAAATGGGGGATAAAAGAGAAGAGAAGATATGGGCCAGAGAGGAGCGAGATAAGAGAAAGAGAGAGAAAAGGGGGGCTGCAGAATGAGGGGAAAAAGAAGAGAGGGAGATAGAAAGAGGAAAGAGAGTAATTCTGCCTGGACGGGTGCTGATCTATCATGGCCAGCTATCAGAAGGACAAGCAGGCCCTGAAGACTTCTGCCCAGAGGCAATCTCACCTCAGCCAAGTCAAGTGCTCTCCGGGCTCCAGTTGGAGTAAAACTGCCCCTAACAGGACCCCAGAGGTTCTGCACGTCTTTTTTTTCCTTTCCTAACCTCGAACTGAACCGAATGATCACGAGATTATCCGGTATCAAAGCTTTTAATTTTAGACGGTGCTTTAAAAAAAGAGAGAAAGTGTGCACCTTTTATTGTATAGATTCCTGTGATCTGACAGAGCGACATGTTACAGTGTAAGATCTATAACCAGCACGGCAATGAATGGCAATTTAGAGCAGCTTCATAATGGCGAGTGTGCGCACAGGCTTGTCTGTGTGCTTCTGTGTGTGTGTGTGTGAGCATGTGTGTGTTACTGTTTGGTTCTGTGTGTGAGGCTTGCAGCTGCCGACCATGATTCTTTTTGAATTTACATGACAGCATGAGGAGGACCCAATCAATAGCTGCTGGGTAATAAATTGCTGCGCTTGACATAAATAATTTGACCTGGAGTCGTCCAGCCACATGTACAACACAAACAGCTCCAGCTTCCTCTGGATGCTGATTTTAATGACACATCGGAAGTTTTTACAGTGAAAGACATCATGTCAATACAAACTAAATGATTCAGAAAAAAAAGGGCTGAAGACAGAAAATGAATCTTGTATTTTTTTCCAGCTCCAGCAATCACTCTCAGAGAGAGACAGCTATCTGCCGTCTTTGGACGTGATAACCAGCCCATTATCCCTTTGTAAGTAGCTGGGGAATGGGTGATTTGACCAGTAGCCTGTGAACGTTATTAGGTTGAGTAACGTCAAATACAGTAATCCCCTTGTTTTAATCTGTACCCTGTGACCTCCTGACCCGAGTGGGGAAGTCTTTAGCCCTCCCCAGGGTCCCACCGCCCAACACTGACTGTTACATATCTCTTGTTTAGCCGCAAAGGCCAGCGCGAATCAGGCTTTAATCATTGCTGTAATTACACATAATTTATCTCCGCTGCCATCAAGCAACATTGCTTAATGAGGGATGGTGCACTGCTGACGATCACTTAAAGGCACATCAGCATTAAAGAGTTCCTAAAATCAAATATTGTGGAAAATTAAACACGTGAGGATGCAGTTTAAGAATTTCTACATATTTTCTATGGATTCACAATATGAACTGTGCGTATATATAATCTCGATGCTGTATGTACCTGCTCATGTGTCACAGTAACTAGACAAAGCCCTCCCCCCACCCTGCCTGGCAAATGTCCCCTTCCTGGCCGTGCACACTCCTGACTGCCTGTCTGTCGCCGATACGCCCCCATCTCAATCTCCCCGCAACCTCTCCGCTGTCTTCCCGCTCTCCTGCCTGGGTCCGGGGCCTCAGCATCCACCTGATTGTTCAATCTATCTTTATCTCCTGTGTTGAAGCCTACGTCAGAGGGTAAATTGAATATACTAAGAGCTGTCTGTTGGTGTCTATATTTAATATAGTGCACTGATGAGGTGCTGATTTATTGCTGGGCAGTATTCACACTCTATTACAAGGAGATTACGCAGCTTGAGTGGGATCAGGCTGGCAACACAGTAAGTAGATTTCACAATTTAATGGCAAAGAGAAAACAGGAGCCCGGAGGGGGCTGGAGGAGGGTGGGCTGATGGGCTGGTGGTTGGGTGATTACGGTGGAGGGTTGAGCTGACACAAACACGACAACGTACACGAGGTGCGATCTCCTTTTAACATCGCTGCCTCCGATGCTAACAGCTAACGCGGCAGGCGGCTGTCTGTCAGCCTCAGAGCTGATGAGCTGGAATCCAATAACGCACAGATGATGAATATTCCCAAAACACCAGTAATGAATAGAACAATGCAACCAATCCTGTTTCATTAGATTAATCTGGTCGGCATCTAATACTAAAAAATGCAGCAACACAAGAGAAGGATGTAGGAAATTAATTTCTACACACTATAAACAAAAATGAGTGTCTGACACAGTATAAATTACAATGTTGTTTAAATATTTTACATTCTAGTGGTGACATGCCAGAGCAAAAATATGTTTTATTGTGTAGGAGCAGCAGCAGCAGCAGCAGCAGAGTGTCAATGTTTGCTTGGCCCCTCACCCTTCAGAGAATTCCCAGATGAAAACACTCGGGCCTGGGAAGCTGCGGTGGAAGCTGGCAAACACCAAACGACAAGCGCCTCTTGAATAAGCAGCATGCACGGCAGTTTTTACATATGAACACATGACATTCCCACTGCGGGTGGGAAGGGATGCAGGGTGGCAAAGGGCTTCAGGGGTCACGCTGACGTTCTGTCACTCCTGAGGAAGGCGACAGTGTCAAGGTGGTAAACAGGGTCGGGTGTACTGAAGCTGTCAGAACACTCAGTTCCTCCCTAAACCTCTCGGACAGAGTGAAATGCAGCTTTATGGGATGGAAGGGGGCCAGAGGGGTGGACAGTGCACTGCTATGTGTGTCAAAGGTTGTTAGCACCTTAGGACCAACAAGCCATCTGTCAGCATCCCCCTACCACTGTTCCTAATGACCCTGCTCCCCCAGGCAACAGCCGTGTTAGACTGCTTCATGCTATTTGGAGCAGTCACACTCGTGTCCAAAAGCTCCGCAGCGATTATCAATTAATCAAACGCAGACTCAGAACGAGGGTGAGGCTGCAGCCTGGCGATGGCATACCTGTGAAAAGGCTCTTGATAAGTGACACCAGCCAATGTCTACCTCATTAAACTAACACGTGCACCTGATCTGATTGATTAACTGTTTTCATTTCATTTAAACTAATTTTTAAAAATCCTGTACAACTGATAAAGCACTTCACTTGCGCAAACCGACCTTTCCTGGTATGCTAAAGAGGGCCGGGATGACAAAGATGACATTGGACCCTGTGCGGCAAAGACACCATCTACGCTAATGACAGAGCTTTGATGTCCTCCTATTGCCCTCCAATTAAAACTCAATAGGGCCACTCTACTCCATATTATGCCACTTTGAAACACATTTTCAAATGTTAGCTTAGAATAGGGGAAATTTAAAAATCAATTGGGAGAAGGTAAGTGCCAATTTTCGTGACATTTAAATTGTTACGTTTGGACTTTAGTTATTGGCCCATCTGTCAATGGCCTAATCAATGTGGTCTACTTCATAATGAACTGTTAATCTTTTTAATTCCTTTGCCTAAGGCTGCAAAAATCTATCAGAATGCAATCAGCAGTTTTATACCTCCATTCCTTTCTTGTCCCGGAGCGGACGCAGGGAGAAATATGGTAGGAACGTAGCATGGTAGGCTGCCCTGGGGTACCGTTGGTGCATGGAGTGTTAGTGCACGGAGTCTCGCTCAACCAGTGAACCGTCTCTGATCAGGTTCAGCCATGTACAACTCAATTATGCAGCCATTTCATGGCCAGAGGACACCCACTGTCCTAATACAGACACCACCAGAGGGACTAGCACAAACCAAGCACTCTCTCGCTGGAGTGCAAGTGTTTATTCTGTCACTGTCTTTTTGATCTAAGAGGTATATGTGTGATTGTTGTATAAAAGTTAAAAATGTGACCAAACAGAAAACAACAGCACAAGTGTCTGAGTGTCTATATCTGTACAGACCAGAATAATCTACTTAAACTGCATCGTCTTGCAGGTGCAGAGCAACTGTTGGGTACAAGGTACTCGCTCACCATTGGTGCAGACTTACTGCCCCGCATTTTGGGTTATGTGATCATTACAGACAGATTCGGAATGACAAGTTCTCTGCCGCAGTCTGAGGGGCAAATCCCATTAACATTATGGATCAGTCCATTGCACAATACGTGTTAGTATAATCTGATTAACAGCGCTTCAGCGCGATGACACATAAAATCCGAGTTAGAATGTACACATATTAAAATGATGATGCACTCCAGGATACAAACTTTCAACTCAGTGCATGTTAAACAGTGTGTCAAGAGTTTTCTTAATGGAAAGAATTATATATTTTTTAAAATTTCAAATGTTTACCATTTTCACATTCTCCGATTTTTTCCACAATAAGATGAAAAAGATAAGATATTCTTTCTTGTGTATGTGTTCCTGAGTGATGCCACCATGCCTGCATACCGTCTATCTTCAGCAGCCGGCATGGGAATGTCGCAGTGTTTGTGTTCACGCGTGCGTCGCCACTCTAATTTTTGGGTCACAATGATGAGAGTGTGTTATCGGGTCAGTAGTGATCCAGTCCTGAGTAAGCTCCTTGGTTAAACTCTCAGTGTGCTGACCATGCAGGGCCTGCGAGGAGTGATCCAAACAGTTTAGACGCGTAAGGGGCCACGGCTGAAGCCAGGGCCTGCGAGCATATCCATCTCTAATCTCCTTACTATCAGATCTGTACCCGATTAATAGCCCTCCTTCTGAGAAGTGTCTCTAATACCTTTTCAGAACAAAATGCACCTGTCTGAGGTCAGCTGGAGTCCACTTCACTTTACTGGAAACAAATGAACATGTGAATCTGTGGATTTATCTACTAAATTAACTGTTATGATGCTCCAGTATGCACACGCCACAGAGCGGATATCAGTGCTGCAGCGATGCCACACATCCCATACACGCTGACAGCTGTCTGCCCGTCCCAAGTTATGCTGATGAGAAGATGAGGTTATGGAGGTGCCGCTGAGGGACACATTCATTTAGTTTGTTTCCCCCCTCCACGCCTGCAGCACTGTAATGTTATAGAGTTATGGGGGTCAGGCACGAGATCAAGGAGAATCTGCCTCGATGGCAGAAAAAAAAATAAAGGAGCGGCTAAACAACGTGTTCTCCGTCAAAATCAGAGGAAAACTCTCAAAGGAAGCAAAATCTGTGCCGACGTGAGGCAGCGCATCCTTACTTCAACGGCCTCTCATAACCTAACACCTCGTTTATCAGAATGTCTATGGGGCAAGGAAGAAACACGATTATGCCCATCAATAATTCAATGTGTGTGTGTGCTCGTGTGTGTCCATGTGTGTGTGTGTATGTGATATGATGTCTTGTTTGACTGGGCAGGTCCCCAACTTTGCTCTAAATCTCCCTGGTGATTACAGTATACATTGGCACCGGGTGTGTTCCCCCCTCTCCGTTCAATGCAGCGATTTTAGATGCACTCTATTGATTCGTACCTTTCACAGCTACGTCCATTTTGCACCACCCCTACACACCCAGAGGCTGTATGAGATGCTGTCGTTCATTATCTGTGTGTGTGTGTGTGTGTGTGTGTGTGCAGGTTTTTTGGGTGTGTGAGAAGATAGAAGCACCTGAAAAGAAGAAGAGAATGGAGGAAAAGTAATTGCGGTATACCTGGGATGTGTTTAGCCCAGCCGATGATGACCACCAGCTCACGGTCAGCCAGGTCGCACAGCGTGGTCAGAGCCTTGATGTCGCTCTCGGGCATGGTGG